TTTCGTTTCGGTTCATTTTCAATAAATGTTTATATTTTAATAATAATTTTGTGTTTTCTATATATAGACCATAATTTTTAATTTTAATATTTCCTTACGGCTATTTATTTTAAGACAATAAATAGGTTCATTTCAAATGAATGAATTTTTTTTTTTATAGGACTTTAATTCGATAATGACTGCTACTAACGCCCGTGATATTTAGTGAAAAAACTAAATACACACCTGCGATATTTAGTGAAAATACTAAATATCACACTCTCGTTTATTAAATTTGTTTAACAACATGTTCCCGCGATATTTAAAATCCTCCATTTTATAAAAAAATGGATTATATTTTTCAAAGCTAGAAAAATGAATTTTTCAGAAGGAAATTCTAAAATAGAATTATTTTTAAAAATGATAATAAATTTAAAAATTGAAAACGATATTTGCAATGAAATCTTCAAAAATGAAAAATGAAAATTCTATTTTTGGATTTACAACTGATGCTCTATTCCATTAAAAATCGTGAAGCGTTTCTTAGAAGGATAACTAATATCTCAAGAATAGTAAAGTAAAGTAGACTTGGAACAGGTCAGAATTTTTTTTTTGCTTTCAAAACCTATTTCTAATTGGTGTCTAAGTCTTAAGTAGTCTTCTCAAAACAGGTATATTTTTCTTCCTTTTATCTTTTATCTTTTTTCTTCTTTTATCTTTTAATCATAATGTAGCACAAATTTAGCTTTAATCTAACAGTATATATACTCATATTCTCTGGTTAGGTAATATGTCAGTAATTTGTCTTTACCTTGTTATATTTTATCAAACCCTGTTATATTCTTTCAATTTTAAAATTTCTTATCATTTCAAAATGTACCTTAATATACTTTATTGTTTTTTGCCTCATTACTGTATTGTTTTTGCCTTAATTTTTTATCAATATCAAGTAGGTTTCAGCTCAGCATAACATGTATGTCAGTCTGGTATTGACTTAATATTGCCTTAATACCCTTATTAGTTAAAGTAGTTTTTAATCTACATATTACAACTATATTTTATACATGTGTATTTTAAATTAGTTTTAATCGACATATTACAAGTATATTTTATCAATTTTAATACTTTGAATAGTTTTAAAGCAGGTTTAGTCTTAATATAAAAATTTATTTTTATAAACATTCATTTATCATATTAAGTATTAGTTCCTTTATCTGTTTTTCTTTCTGCTTCACATAATAAGCCTCTTGCATATTTATTTACATAAATACTTATTATTATAACGTTATTTCTTCATTGTTATTTTTCTTTGTGTTTTGTATCAAAATTTTAATGGTTCGACCACGTATAAATACTACTATTGAAAATAGACCTCCTGCGTCTTTGATTATAACCTCCCAGGCGCAAGGCGAGAGACAATTCGAGGGCTCTTTCTTACTTACGCCCAACAATTCGGTCGACATCTCTCCTCCGGATCCAAACTCTCAGGCGCTCATCTCCGCGATGCAAGCAATTTCAGCGCAAATGGCATCATTATCGACGCCGGATGGATAATCAAGAACAGATCACGTCCAGATCTCGTTCCCCGCGACACACGTCAACGCCGAGAGCTGTCAATATGGCAACAACAAGTGGATCATCACAACCCCCGGTCATAATACAGCCGCCGCTCGAGCCACCCCAAACCCCAGCCGAGGCCCACGATAGACTAACCAAAGTATGGGCAGGCCAGCAACAGGATCTTTTGGAATCCAATTGCAAAGCGAACATCAGGGATCGCCACGAGATCAAACATATAGCGGAAATGGTAGAAATTCTTTCTCCCGAATCCGATATCCGGGCGCTCTAGATTATGACGAAGAGAATTCGAGTACTAGCCCTAGCTATCCATTGGAATTGGCAAACGGCGAGGAACAACGATGCGTCATATCAGGAGAAATTCCTTTGCGGTGAGAATATTGCGGTGTTTCAAGACCCTCGCCCCTTTCGAGAAAGGGGCCGATACGGCCCTTCAACCTCAACCTACAGAAGAGCGCCGGCCAGGAAAGAGGCGCCCGCCTCCAGGGGCAAGAAAAGGAAATGACAACCTTATCGTCGTCGCAAACAATCCTATTTCTTCTTCTACCAAGCTACCACTTTTACTATTACCTCCTTCTTCCTCTCCCTCTAACAACTCGCCGGTACCAACAGGGGTTACCGGCCCGAGCAACGGCCCCCCGGCTCGAAGGGCAAGAACATTGCAGCTCCCGAACTGGTTAGCCACCGTAAACAAATTTTTGAAGGAGCTGAGGCATCAGATGTTCTCGCCAAACAACGCTGATGGGGACAGCGACGTGCCGGATCACACAAATAATGACAATCCTACCCCTGGGCACCAAATACCCCCGGCTAACCCTTCTTCCGAATCGGACGTCCCATCGTTCCTTTCTGAAGACTCTGGAATCCACGAATGGTGGAGAAACTCCCCCACTTCGGACTCCTTCTCATTTAGCGATAACTCGGAAGAAGCGAGGTCCATCGTCTCTGCTCTGCAAGTTTCAATCTGCAGTGAAGACGATGCTGGTATGCCCCAGGGGGGTCCTTCAACAGCCCCGAACATTCCCGGTATCCTCAACGGTATCGTGAGCAATGGTCCAAGAAGTATCTTTACTGACGAACAACTCGCGCAACATCCGAGCCTCAACATTAGTACAACCCGCTTAACATTGGGCCCCTTAATATCGCCCTTGACCGCAAGGGTAGCCCGAAGAGGCTTCCGCCCGCGCCTGGACAATACAAAAATTAATAACAATAGTAACCACTTCTTTACACATCCTCATCGCGCGGGCCTACATAACAAATACCATGACATTGTAGTGTTGTTAAAAAACTGAGTCAAGCCGGCTTAGCCCTAAACTCAGCCAGTTTTTGAGCCGCCGGCTGAAGCCGGCTCAGGAGTTGGCTCAAGCCGGCTCAGGAGTTGGCTCAAGCCGGCTCAGGAGTTGGCTCAAGCCGGCTCAGTAGTTGGCTCAAGCCGGATCAGGAGTTGGCTCAAGCCGGCTCAGGAGTTGGCTCAAGCCATTAGCTCAAGCCGAAATTTATTTATTTGTGATTAGTCTTGTTAAACGGCTGATCCAAACCCGCTTCTTAGCTTACTAATGTTGTTAAACGGCTGAGCCAAGCCGGCTTCTTGGCTACCATGCCGGCTTATCCCTAAACTCAGTCAAATTTTGAATCGAAAATTTGTAACTCAAGCCTACTTTTAAGCCAATAATTAATTTATTTGTGATTAGTGTTGTTAAACGGTTGACCCAAGCTGGCTTCTTGGCTTATTAGTGTTGCTAAACGGTTTGGCCGTAATTTGAAGCCTTTCATTGATTTTAAATCAGTGATGTAATAATTACTGTAAGGTATTGAATGTTTTTCCTAGGACCCTTGCAATTTATTTTACTATCTCACAGCCAATATTAACTTTAGAAATAAAATATTATGTAAAAAAAAATAATAGCATAATTTAGGATTTGATATAGAAAACTGTTTTACGCAGGCGCACCCTACCTAAGTAATAATTACACAAATTTATACAAAATAGATTAACATTTTTTATAAAATAATCATTCCTTAAATAAAATTCTTTATAAAAAATTCTCTATAAAATCATTCTCTGTAAAATAAATCTCTATAAACGACATTCTCTATAATTGTTTTCTCTGTAAAAGTTTCTCTATAATTGTTTTCTCTGTAATGGTTTCTCTGTAATTACGCGATACCAAATATTTTCAATTATTATTTTATAAATGAAAAAAATAAATTAAACATAAAATTACAAATAAAAAGAATATTAAGTATTGTTTATAAATGTTTAAATGTGGTTTATTTTAATATTAATTATTATATCCGATAGCTGCAGAGCCGTTTGTTGGCCAGTATTTCTTAAAAAATATTTAGATATACATATAGTCCGTGCTTTGTATATTCAGATTTTAGTTTTTAAATATTATATATTTTAAGAAAATATTAAAAACAAAAAATATCTAAGATTTTTTTTTCTTTAATGCCGCTTCATCTATTTTACTTAAATACTTTTTATGTAATTTATTCAGGTAAAGAATGCATATATTTATATATTATAAATATAATAAGAAAGCAGCAGTTATAAACCTGGCAAGGGCAACCCATACATCATTAGTTTATCTCAAGTTAATAAAAATAGGAGGCTGACATGTTTGATATAAATAATTAATTTTCTCCTTTAAAATCATAAACTAATATAATAAATTATATTTATAGTCAACCCTTAGTAATATAGGAAGGGAGGGGGTTGGGAAGAAATTTAAATAAATAAATATTTTTGTAATTAAAATCAAGGGAAAAAAATGAGACAGATATCAGGTCACCCCAATGAAGGATTTTACCTTCGTCAGCAGATTTCCCTGGAAGGAAATCTGCAGGTCCAATTTTATAAATATTCAAGCTTCTCTCAGATGATATGTACCCGCTTTTTTTAAAATACTTTCTCAGTTCTTTTTTATGTATTAAATTTTTTTTTTCCAATTCATTTTTTTAATATATATTTTTAATTATGTTGTGTATATTTCTCATTGCGATTTAATATACAAAAAATTGTTTTATTATATTTTTAAAATTCTTGGTTAAATCTTTTCCATTTTTACTTATATACTTAATTTGATATCCAATTTTTAAAAAAAAATAAAAAATAGCCACTAAAGTTATCTTCATTTATTTTTAACTTGAAATATTTATTTTAATTATTATGATAAAAACTATTAGGCCAAAATAAATCTAATATATGATAAAATATTTAAATAATAAAGCTAACAAATATATTATTTGACCGTTCTTATGCAAGAGTCTTTCCAACATACCTAAGGTCCATAAACCCTATTTGATTATTGAAATAAGATATTTTATATCAGCGCAAAGAACACATTTTTTCATAAAATTTATTGATTTATTTGTATATTATAGTATAAACAAATATATAATATACTTTAAATTTATATATAAAAATCATCTTTTAAAGTTAAAAAATTAAATTTCCATGATTTTAATGACAAACATTCATTTAATTTTGTAGAAGAAATTCGATTTCTTTTCTTTGTCAATGTGTCAACCGCACGTGAAAAGGTTCTTTCACTAGGTACAGATGTTGATTGATGGGAAAAGAAATCTCTAGCCATCATTGCTAATTTGGGAAATCTTGTGCTGTTCGAACTCCACCAATCCAAAACATGGATTGTAGGTTTAGCAACAACCTCTCCAATATAATCTTCCATCTCCTCTCTCGCTGGATCTGGATATTAATATGCTTCCCTTAAAAGCGAATTATAAAAATATATGACTAAATATAATAAATTTTTGTATTTACTTTCTAAGGTCATTAAATATCGTTGCCGACATAAGATTTGATGGATTAAGCTCGTTATCGATATCATAAACATTTAAATTTTTCGGATTATATTGGTTATATAAAATTTTGAAATGATCCAAATATGTAGCTTTATTAAGAAAAGTTGGTATATATTTTTTTTTATTCGAGGATCTAGGAATGCACAGACATAATTTGCAAAAGTTGCCATATGTTCTGAATATATTTTGCATTTTTCTTTCATTTTAGAAGCCGCTTTTTTTATTTGAGTGCTTGCATTTGATATCTCTGTGCGTTCCAGTGACGTCATTATTGTAATAATGTATAATACAGATAAGCCTACCGTGGTTATTGTTTCGGAGCTTATTTCGTTTGTTATCTTATAAAATGGATATAAAAATGATTCGAGTTCCTTGAGAAAAATACTATCCTCATTGTTAATGTGGTACTCATCATCAAATTTTTTGCAAAATTTAAAGACCGCATCAATATTCTAAAAATATAAAACATTATTAAAAAATAAAATTTATAATTAATAATTATACCTGATTGATTGAACGTATCATTAAATATTTACTGTTCCATCTGGTAGCCACATCTATTGGTATTTTCGTGCCACCACTTAAGGTTAGGAATTCTTGCATCATTTTAGGACTTCTATGTATTTTCCTGACAAATCGGTCTACATTTTCTAATAGGGAAGAGAATGAATCTAATCCCTCTTTCACTACTATATTCAAAATATGTGCCAAACATCTATGGCTGTAAAATTCTTTACTATAATTTTTCATATAATATTTTTTCATGTATTCGGATGCCAATAAAATATTGGAAGCGTTATCATGAGTAATAGATGTAATTTTATTAATAATATTAAATTTTTCTAGGAAATCTATAATTATTGCACAAATCTCCTCACTCGTATGTGGGTGAGGTATTTCGATAAAATCTAATAAATAATTTTTGGGTGACCAATCATTATCTATATAATGGATTGTCAAAGCCATGTATGATATAGAATTTATACCGGTCCACAAATCAGTCGTAATAGATAGTTGGCTCTTCACCTTATTAAGATTAGCAATCATTTGATTCTTGGCTGTTATATATATTTTAAATAAATATTTGGAAGCGCTTTGTCTACACCAAATTTTTGCGTATTTATTAATATATTTAAATATATTTTTAAATGAATCACTGTCGAATGAATTGATAGATATATTTTTATCAACAAAATATTTGAGGATTAATTTATTAAGATTTAAATTTTCACTAGGTGAAAGTATTTTAACTCCAAACAAAGATGAGGATGCATTCTGAAGACTTTCATGTAAGGCATTCGGATGAAATCTTTTCAAATGATTTTTTAAATTACTAGATGCTGTACTAACTAGGTAGTATTTATCGCAGAACCGACATTTTCGTCTGGTTTTCTTGGGAGTCATTTTATAATTATTTCCTATCATAATACTATTATCCGATCTAGATACTTTATATCCTTCTTCAATTTCCCTTATTGGACTGGACATAGGCTGCGTCTAAATATTATTCAAAAAATTAAAATTATACATTTACTAAAATAAATAGATGTAAAATTTAGAGATCTTTTATTTTACTTGAAAGACAATTTTATATTTATCGGTCATTTAGTTTAATGTGGAAATTAAGTTAAAGATGGGCTTGGGTCTAAAAAAATTTATTTTAAGATAGGGCTAAGGCTTTTATTTTTTTGACTCAAAATATAAAAAAGATTACTAATTATTCTCATGTTAAAAACTATTATTAAATTGATAACTTGCTTCCTTATTCTCTCGATGATCTGAAACCATTCTTTAATCTGTTTGCCTTTTTAATAATAACATGGGTAACCAAAATAGTTTTTTCTAAAATATCGGGTTAGCCATTTTTAAAAATCAAGCCATTTAAGAATACTACCTATAAGCTAAAAAAAGTAGTCTAAAGAACAGCTGTTAGATAATAAAAAAACATTAAAAATAATATATATATTTTTTTTCATCTTCTAGATCATTACCGTTTACATGAATAACGAAGATTATGGACTCCTATATATTAGCTATTGGACAAAAGAAATCGATTTAGATTAATCATATTTAAAATTAAAAAGTATCTTTTAGTTAGTTTGGATGATAGGAATTTCCGAAGATGACTCTCATTCGAAATCTTAAAAAACAATTTGTATATTTAATTTTAATTTGTTTTATATTCCATTTCCCTCAAATAAATGGAATTCGAAAGAAGATTTATCTACCCTAAAGCCACTCCTTCTTTTCGTGTTTTATTGCGTAGATAAAGTTCAACGTTTTCGATTAAGTAAAGATGTAATTAATAATAAAAAAAATACCTTATCTTATTTTAAAAATTGATTAGAAATCAGATCAAAAATATAATTATAATTAGTGAATTATTCTTCTTAAAAAAAACTTATATTGCGTAGTGAAGATTTCGGCTAAACGAAAAAATTGATTAAAATTCAGATCAAAAATATAATTATCATTAGTAGTAAAATAAGTCTTCTTAAAAAACTTCTATTGAGAAGTCAAGAACGATTTTAGCTAAACGATTAGCTAATATTTGAACATATAAATAGAAATATTGTAGTACTTCTATTCCACTCATTTCTTGGTGTGAGGTAGATGTAGATGGTAAATCGAAACTTGTTGAATCCATAAAATTTATTTTAAAAAATTTTTTGTTTATTTATTTTAAAAAAATATGGGAAAAAATTTTTTGATAAAGTAAAAAATAAAATGAAGGATAAATAAAAAATTTAAAGAATAAAAATTTTTGCTAAGTATTATTTTAAATTTTCCAACCCTCCTCCCCCCACCCCACCCTAATTTCTCTTGTTTTCTTGTTCTTTAATATTATTATTTTTTAAAATTTACCAACCCCCCTAATTTCGATTGTTCATCATAATTATACTCCTCTTTTTTTTTAAATTTTGAACTTTTTTCCCCCCATTTTTCTTGTTATAATTTTATCTAACTTTTTATGAGCCATATTAAGCGAAAATAATGGGGGGAGAAATTTGTTTATAAAAGAAAATATTTCTTTACACAATTACTAAAAATAAATACTTCCGATTTTTTATAAAATTATTATATGAATATTTCTAAATATAATATTTATGTAATGTGTTATTTGAATAAATATAATTATTTAACCCTTCACTACATAGGTGAAAAAAACTCCCGCGGTTACATAGGTGGGGTCTATTTTACCCCAAATTTTAGATAGCTATATCTCAGCATGGTTAAATTAAATAAGAAATTATAAAAAGATTTTTTTCTAATATTAATATATATGGTTTATTATTAAATTTTTTTTAAATCAAATTTATAAGAACTGGAACAAACCGAAAAGAACCGTTATAAATTATAAACCGAACCGATTTAAATTTTTTCAAAAAAAACCGAAATGGAACAAAACCTTTATAAAATTTTAAACTAAAAACCGTAACGAACCGAACCTCTATACTTAATGGTTCGAAACCCTGTTGAAAAGGGGTCGGCCAAATCGTGATCGATTTAACGAATTTCATTTAACCCTTCACTACAAAGGTGGGGTAAATAGGACCCCACAACTTTTATAATCTTTGTAATACAAAAGCTAGAAGATATTCCGACCTGATTTTTTCAGTAGTTTAATATTTTGTAACAAGGAATACAACTTCCAAATTTCATGATTATTGATTTGATAGTTTTTGAGATATATGCTATTTGTTGAGCTTGGGGTAAAATATACCCCACCTATGTAATGATGTAATTTTTTTTTAAAATCCAATTTTTTTTTGTTACTAATTATATTTATGTATGTCAGGTTAATAAATATAATTGAAAAAAATATAATTTTATTTATTTTTTGATATATATGACTTTAAATTTAAAAATTTTATATTATTTATTTTTTCGGTGTAGTTAAAAATCATAAATTTAACATATGATTTTTAATTTCAATTATTCTAGTGACATTTTATACTTTGAAAATAGAATTATATGCTGGCAATCAGCCTGAAGGACCTTATAAATTGAGAAATAAGCCTTTTGATGTGGTTGAAAGGTTAATTCAGCCCATTTCTAAGAGTAATAGGAATGTCACCACAGATAACTGGTTTACCAGTTATGAACTTGCTATACATTTATTAAATTCCCATTCATTAACAATAGTAGGAACTTTAAGAAAAAATAAATAGCAGTTTCCAACATCATTTAATTTTAAAAAGAAAGATATTTGTTTAAGTTTATTTGCCTGCTAAGATAATATGACATTAGTATCATATGTACCAAAAAAGTATAAGCATGATGCTTTCTACCCTTCACTATGATAACAATATTGATACATCAACTGGGGATTTGAAAAAACCAGAAATTATCACATTTTACAATCTTACCAAAGCTGGTGTTGATGTTGTGGATCAGCTATGTTCAAATTATTCAATATCCAGAATAACAAATAGATGGCCTATGACAACCATTACAGAGAAAACAATTATAGAGAAACTTTTACAGAACAATTATAGAGAATGTCGTTTATAGAGATTTATTTTACAGAGAATGATTTTATAGAGAATTTTTTATAAAGAATTTTATTTAAGGAATGATTATTTTATAAAAAATGTTAATCTATTTTGTATAAATTTGTGTAATTATTACTTAGGTAGGGTGCGCCTGCGTAAAACAGTTTTCTATATCAAATCCTAAATTATGCTATTATTTTTTTTTACATAATATTTTATTTCTAAAGATAATATTGGCTGAGAGATAGTAAAATAAATTGCAATAGTCCTAGGAAAAACATTCAATACCTTACAGTTATATTATTACATCACTGATTTAAAATCAATGAAAGGCTTCAAATTACGACTAAACCGTTTAACAACACTAATAAGCCAAGAAGCCAGCTTGGGTCAACCATTTAACAACACTAATCACAAATAAATTAATTATTGGCTTAAAAGTAGGCTTGAGTCAAGGTCAACTCTTGAGTCTAAGTCAAATTTTCGATTCAAAATTTGACCAGTTTAGGGATAAGCCGGCATGGCAGCCAAGAAGCCGGCTTGGCTCAGCCGTTTAATAAAACTAGTAAGCCAAGAAGCGGATTTGGATCAGCCATTTAACAACACTAATCACAAATAAATAAATTTCGGCTTGAGCTAACGGCTTGAGCCAACTCCTGAGCCGGCTTGAGCCAACTTGTGAGCCGACTTGAGCCAACTCCTGAGCCGGCTTGAGCCAACTCCTGAGCCGGCTGGAGCCAACTCCTGAGCCGGCTTGAGCCAACTCCTGAGCCGGCTTGAGCCAACTCCTGAGCCGGCTGGAGCCAACTCCTGAGCCGGCTTGAGCCAACTCCTGAGCCGGCTGGAGCCAACTCCTGAGCCGGCTTGAGCCAACTCCTGAGCCGGCTGGAGCCAACTCCTGAGCCGGCTTGAGCCAACTCCTGAGCCGGCTTGAGCCAACTCCTGAGCCGGCTTGAGCCAACTCCTGAGCCGGCTTGAGCCAACTCCTGAGCCGGCTTGAGCCAACTCCTGAGCCGGCTTGAGCCAACTCCTGAGCCGGTTTGAGCCAACTCCTGAGCCGGCTTGAGCCAACTCCTGAGCCGGCTTGAGCCGACTCGAGCAAGCCAACTCAGCCGGCTCAATGAGCCGGCTTGAGCCTGAACGAATTTTTTGGCTACGACCTCGAGGTCGGAGCCGATAAAACTCGGCTTTTTAACAACACTATGACATTGTGAACCAGCTTCTACTAGCAAACGTCATCGAAACAGGAGATGAACACCAAATTTGCTCCCCGCTCTTTGTCATTCCCAAGAGCAATGGAACCCCCAGGGTTATCAGTGATTTCTCCGAAGTATCTAAAAACTTCCTACATTACCCCTTTCGTCTCAAGTCCATTCCACTGATGTCGCAAAAACTTAACGAAGCATCCTTCGCATGCAAAATAGACATTAGATCGGCTTTCTTCTCGATACCTCTTGCAATAGGAGTAAGAAAGTTTTTCGGATTCAGTTTCAACGGCACCAATTACAGGTATAAAGTCCTCCCGATGGGTGCCTCCTTTAGCCCATATTGCCTCCCGTCGATCATCCTTGACGCCTGCGCCAAGACGGTCAAGAAGGCAAACTATAATGTCTACCTCGACGACATCCTTATCTATGGGGCGAACGAAGCCGATGTCAGATGGTCAACCATGTCCCTTCGGCACACCCTAGAGGAATGGGGACTCCAAATAGCAGAGGAAAAATCAATCCTTGACCCCTCCCCTACTATCACTTACCTCGGAGTCTCTATCGATCTCAACAATAAAACTGTCGCTGCAGACACTATCACCCGCAGAAGGCTTAAAAAGTGCCTGGACGTATTTAGGAGCCACACCTACCAACACCTCCAAATCGGCCGCGAGCTCGCAGCAAGAGTCCTTGGTGTGGTAAATCATTACGCTTACACTATAACCGGCATGTCAAGGCTGTTTTCACCTTACTACATCACCATGATCGACGCCCCCATGACACCCGTGGTAGACTCATATTTGGCCTTTAAGAAAGCTGAATTAATCATCGACGCCCTAGCAGAACCACTCTCGTTACATTATTATACAAATTCGCTAGTCTACGTCGATGCCTCCAATTCCCATATTGGAATTAACTTCTGGGAGATTGATAACCTCTCGGTAGCATACAGCGAGGCATGCCTCCTCTTCAATGTGCCCATCCATGCTATTAGTCACAACAACGCTAAGGAAATTCTGGCGGTAGGAATCGGAGCAATTATGTACCTAAAAAATAAAATATGTATAAAAAATAATAAAATATTAAAAAAACAGGATGTATGTAAAATGTAACTTTGCCTTTTTTATTTATGGCATGGCAAAAAATAACATTATACGATAAAAAAAAATAGGAACTTGTTGAAATTTATTTTTTTAGGTTATTTTTTTAAAATATGCTGGACAAATGTTAAAATTATCAAAATGTTTTTTTCTTTATCAGTTCCTATTAGTGCTTTGCTTTAACTAGTAGAGTAGCCAGTTTAAGAAAACCTAAGCCAGTCTTACGTCAATTTTTTAGAAATTTTATCAATATTTAATAATTTGTGAGTTATTTTAAACTGCACTGCCCGGCTCGAATTTCTTTAAAATATATTATATCATAGATAATAATGGTAATTTAAAATATGTGGTTTTAAAATATAAGCCTGGCCCTTGTATTTAAAAAATAAAATTTAGGCTGGGCCCGGGTATATTTAAAAAAATTAAAATACAGCCCGGTCCGTGTACCCGAGCCGGATTTAAGGCTGGGTCTGTAGGTCTGATCTAATTGCGCGTTTTTAATTTCCCTGATAAATGTGATTTTACCAAATTTATTCTGAAGAGAATCTACTCTGAGAATTTCATATGATTATGCTAAAAAAAATTTGTATTTAACAATTTATAATGAAAATCCATATATAGGTAATCAAAATTAAGGTAAGGTGATAGTATGATGGGTATTTTGTTCTATTTTTTGCATTATAAATAATTAATTGGGTGCTTTAAATTTTTAATCTGATTTTGCCGGAACTGTATTCCATGTGTAGAAACTTTGATATTAAGGATTTATTTTTTTTATTATTTGAATTATATTTTAAAATAAGGTCCAATAGAAGGAGGAATAGGATTTATTGCTTTTGAAATTTCCTGGCATTAATCGCATTCATTTTAGTTCCAAAACACTAATTATTGTTTAAATACGCCAATATTTTTAAAGAGAGAACTTAATATATTAGCAATCTATATTATTTGTAGTCATACTAAACTAACCCAATTTATTTTCAAACATTAATTTTTATAGAAATGGCCGTCAATTTTGAAGTGAGAAATGGATATTATTATCAATCGAAATATCAATTTTATCCCAATTATTTTAAAACATAGATTTTCAAATGAAATAGGATGTCGCCAATGGTTTTGAATTCAAAAAATTATGTAGAATGGTTTACCGTACACCTGGCTTAAATATTTTTTTTTAAAAACCTGAGATGATTTAAAAAAATAACTGAGTTTCTGTGCCTGGAATATAAAATATTATATAATAAAATATATATTTATTAAATAATGTGAACAGGGTTTCCAGGTCAAAATTTTTAAATTGCGGATAAATAGTGCATTGTTAAAAATATTCCTGTGCCCTCCTAGACCCGCCCACTTTGAATAATAATTTAGAATACAATCAAGATATAATTAAATTCCCTTTTATTTGACGCCCATATCAATATTTTCCATTGTTAAAAATATTTCTGACCTCATTAGACCTAGTTGACCCGCCCACTTAGAATATTAATATAATAATAAGTATTAAAGTCAAAATTTAATTAAAACACCTTTTATTTGACGCCCCATACATATTATCAATATCATCATGTTGTTAAAAATATTCATAATAATAATTATGATTAATAGTAGACTACAGTATATAATTAACACACCTAGCCATATTAGCATATCGAGACCTAGAGGGAACGCTTGTTCTTTTAATGAATAAATCTTATGTATACCTTCCTACTAAGTTCAAAAAAAAGTTAAAAATAAATGGGTTCTTGTGCCAGGTCTGGACCCCTTGTCTGAACCCCGGGTCTGTGCTCAGGGTTCGTGCTTAGAGCAGGCATGAGCACAAAATTGGGTTGTAAATTTTACGACCAAGCAAATTAACAACACTAGTCTGAAATCAATTTTAAAATCAAGGTTAAATCTTTCTAAGTGCAAAAGAAAGTACCAAGTTGTCAGATATGATAATCTATTTCAAGTCAAATGGAGATGACTTATTTAATATTACAATTAGATATTGGCTCCCAGAGGCTGGGTCATGCAAAATATTTTTTGGGCCAGGCCAGTCAAATTGTACAAAATATATTTTAGAAGTTTGGTAAAAATAATTATGGGCTGTGCCAAAAAACCTAATAGAAAATTTCTTAAGGTTTAGTTTTACCACCTTTAATTACAATAGAACAGATAAATGTTATATTAAAATTTATAATTAAATCAATTTTTATTTTAATATAATATAATTGTTCTCTAAAAATGGAAATATTTTTATGACCACTATACTTTAAGTATGAGGAATGATTTTGTATGTCTGAAAGATGATTATGTTTCAATAGGAGCTCCAATTGGTATGAGCTTGTGGGAAGAGATTTAGGCACGTTGTTTAAATAAATAATTATAGGGTAAAGAAGTTCATATTATAATTTTTTTTATTATGTAACAAAGCATAGATGTGGACAATAACTGTATAATTGAGATGAATTATATGAAGATCAATATGTACAGCTGGTTTTGTTATACTGTCAACGAATATCTAAAACATGTAATTAATGCTATTTGAATTGGGGCTGATAAAAATAAATATTACTTTTTATTAATTTTATAATTTGTTAAAAGTTTTCACCAATTTATAATTTAAAAGATATAACAATATTTTAGTGTAAATTTTAGTTAGGCAGTCGTGGCCGAGTGGTTAAGGCGACTGACTCGAAATCAGTTGGGTTTTCCCGCACAGGTTCGAATCCTGTCGACTGCGTTATATTTTTGTATTAATTTTTTTTAGAGTGTATGCTTAGCAAGCTAATTTTTGTTACATTCATGAAAGATTTAGTTAGATGATTATTGTAATTTTTTAAATAAAAATTTATGTTTATTTCATAAATAATAAACATTATATTTAATATTATAAACATTACATTTATATTATTAATATAAACATTATATTAATATTATAAACATTATATTAATATTATAAACATTATATTAATATTATAAACATTATATTAATATTATAATCATTATATTAATATTATAAACATTATATTAATATTATAAACATTATATTAATATTATAAACATTATATTAATATTATAACATTATATTAATATTATAAACATTATATTAATATTATAAACATTATATTAATATTATAAACATATTAATATTATAAACATATTAATATTATAAACATTATATTAAACAATAAACATTATATTTATATTAATACTAGTAGATAACCTGCCAAAAATGACGGGGAATGAGAATGATATCCTTACTTTTATGATATTTGATATGTGTTGAATTGTTATTTTTGAATTTTTTGTAAAATATTTACTTACATTATGAGTCATATGAATTTGAATAACAAATAAATTATTATTTTGATATGAGATAAAGAAAAGAAAATTGCAAGAATTATTTATTCACTTATATTTTTATTACTAATAACAATTGCAAGAATTATTAATTGACTTATATTTCTACTAGGCTTGACAAGAGGAGGCAACAAATCATATAAAGAACTATGGTGGTGGAATGAAGAGGTACAAACAGAGTTGTACAAAAGATCTTCTTTGAAGATTTTTGAGCGAGATCCAGCTCAAAAATTTGAGCAAGATCTTTGAGGATCGTAAAATTTGAAGATCTTTTATTTTTTAAAAATTTTGTGTAACGATCTTCAAAGATCTTCATGATATTTATTTTTTTACCCCTTTATTAAAAGCCCAGATGTTTTTCAATTTTCATCAAGGCAGGAGGAGAGGTATAAAACATAAAAGAAATATTATAAACATCTGGGCTTTTAATAAAGGGGTAAAAAAATAAATATCATGAAGATCGTTGATCGCAGCGATCTTCAAAAATCTAGATCTTTGAAGATCGTTACACAAAATTTTTAAAAAATAAAAGATCTTCAAATTTTACGATCTTCGAAGATCTAGATCTTTGAAGATCTTTTTATTTTGAGCAAATGTACAACTCTGGGTACAAACCACTATACAGGAGAAAAAAGCCCTTTATAAAATATGGTACAAATCCAAAAACGCAGATGACAAGACAAGATACAAAAAATCCAAGAGATTAGCTACAAAAGCGGTGGCTAGAGCCAAATCTATGGCATACGATGACATGTACGAAGATCTACATACCAAAGAAGGGCAAAATAAAATATACAGATTAGCCAAACAGCGAGAAAAGAACTTTAGGGATATAAACGGAGCTCCGAAAGTAATCAAAAATAAAGATGGGAAATTGATAATAAAGGAAAAAGAAATAATGAGTAGATGGAGAGAATATTTTCAGGAGCTTCTCAACTTTAATCCGCACATACTGCATCTAAACGAACCCCCTCCTTGTCAAAACCTTGTACAACCTATAACTTAACAAGAAATAATCACATGCCTCAAGCATATGAAGAACAACAAAGCTAGGGGTCCAGACGATATTCCAATAGAAAGCCTTAAAGCACTAGGAGATGATGGAATACATCTCCTCACAAATCTATACAATAAGATACTTGGAAATGAAGAGGTTCCCCAAAAATGGAGGCAGAGCTATCTAGTTCCTATCTTCAAAAATAAAGGGGATCCACATAATTGTCAAAATTACAGGGGCATAAAACTAATGTCGAGTGAAAAATACAGGGAAAAGAACAGAAAGCTACACATGGTCTTTCTTGATCTAGAAAAGGCCTTTGATAGAATCCCAAGAAAACTTATCTGGTGTGCGCTACGCCACAAAAATGTTCCCGAAAAATATATAAGAATAATACAGGATATGTATATGGGCCATACAACAATGGTCCGTAGCACAACAGGTACTTCAGCAGGCTTCACAATAGCCGAAGGAGTTCATCAAGGGTCGGCTCTCAGCCCACTTCTCTTCATTACAGTAATAGATGTATTAGCACAGTCTATACCTCAAACAGTCCCGTGGAATATGATATTTGCAGATGATATTGTGATACTTGCCGAATCTAAGGATGAAATGAAAGAAAGACTAGTGAGTTGGATAAATATCCTAGAAACGCACGGATTAAAAATAAATAGAGAAAAGACGGAGTATATGGTGATAGGAAGAGATGAAACAGAGAGTATTGATATAAATGAATGGCAGATATCGGCAATTGAAAGCTGCAAATATTTGGGCTCCACTATACAAACAAACGGCACAATAGAAAAAGAGATAAAGAGTAAGATTAATCAAGGGTGGCTAAAGTGGAGATCTTTATCTGGAGTGCTATTTGATAAAAGAATCCCACAAAAACTAAAGGGAAAAATTTACAGTTCCATAATACAACCAACTATTCTATATAGTTCGGAAACATGGCCAACCAAAGAATCAGACGAGAGAAGTCTACAAACCATGGAGATGAGAATGCTGAGGATGTTTGCTGGGGTAACAAGAAAGGATAAAGTGCGCAGTACAAGAATACTAAGTAGTTTAAAGGTAGTGCCCATTAAGACTAAGTTAATGGTAAACAGACTTAGGTGGTATGGGCACACAATGAGAAGGCCTATGAACTACATAGGAAATAAAGTTAAGAGTTTGGAAGTGATGGGCAAACGTAAAAGAGGAAGGCCAAAACTTCAATGGGGCCATAAAGTTAGAGCCAATATAAAGAATTATAAATTAGATAAAAGAGATTGTAATAATAACATAAAATGGAGAGAGATGTTGAAGGAGCTTACCACCAGAAAAGGTGAAAGCTAAAGAGAAAAAAAAAATAAATTTCTATTACTACTAAGTACTAACAATACACTACGAAAAAGATAAAACATTACGAATTTGTGGGGATTTTAAACTATAAATCAAAATATTAATATTGATACATTCATACTCAATACCAAGAATCCAAGATTTTAGCCAGTTTGGGAAAAGAAGAGGAATTTTCAATATTAGATCTCTCAGATGCCTATTTTCAAATTAAAGTGGGGGAAGAGTCTCAAAAATATTTTGCAATCAATACGCATAGGGGATTATTTAAGACTACCTTTGATACGTCTTCTCCAGCAATATTTCAACGAGCCATCGAGAATTTATTAAAAGGTTTTGGAGTAGCTTGTTATTTGGATGATATTATAATAACCGGGAAAAATAGAGAGAAGCACGAAACATTAAAAAATGTACTATAATGTCTAGATGAAAATGGAATTAAGCTAAAGATAGAAAAATGTAAATTTTTCAAACAAAATGTCGAGTACTTAGGATACAATATTTCAAAAAACGGGATTACAACTACTGAAAAAAATATTGAGACAGTAAAAAAAGATACAGAACCAACATATTTGAAACAATTAACAGTCATTTCTAGGGTCAGCATCATATTTTTCAAAATTTATTTCAAATTTTGCATTCAAAGCCAAACCATTATACAAATTATTAGAAAAAACAGTTGTTTGGAGATGGACTAATGGATGCAAAGACGCGTATAAAAAGATAAAGCAAGAAATAAGTAGTACTCCAATATTACAATATTATGATCCAAAATTACCCATTATATTAGCAACAGATGCGCCAGCCATAGGAATTTGGGCAGTAATATCACATACAGAAGGGGGTAATGAGAGATTAATTGCATTCGCCTCAAGAACGCTAAATGCAGCGGAGAAAAATTATAGCCAAATAGAAAGAGAAGCTCTTGCCAAAATTTATATATGAAAGTTTACATTACAAACAGACCACAAGCCATTAATGAGTTTATTTCGTCCAAGAAAAGATATACCAACAACATCTACTGCCAGAATACATAGATGGGCTTTATTTTTAGCAGGTTACCAATATGAAATAGAATTCAAAAGTAGTCGACAACTAGCCAATGCTGATATGCTATCTTGATATACATTTTTAAAGGAGTATAGCCAAAGGAGAGAGGATTACAACAGAGAGAGGTTGTTTACTGTGGGGAACTAAAATGATAATACCACAACAATACCCAAATAACGTGTCAGACATGATACATCAAGGACATATTGAAATGGTAAAAGTGAAGATGAGAGCAAGACAATACGTGTGGTGGTCTAATATAAACCAAGATATAGAAATATAGGTCGAAAAATGTAAAGAATGCCAGGAACAACACGATATGCCTCAAAAGACATCATTTCAAAATTGGCCAAAACCACCAAAAGCATGGCGAGTACATATAGATTATGCTGAACCATTTCAAAATCATTATTGGTTAGTAGTGATAGATGCTACCAGTCGCTAGCTAAATTAGTACTACAACCGAAAGCAGGATAAAAATATTAAGAAATATTTTTGCCAGATTCAGATTTCCTAAAATAATCGTTTCTAATAACAGGCCACAATTCAGTAGCAAAGAATTCAATTATTTATACGAAAAAAACGGAATACAATTAGTACACGGAAGTCCATACCATCCTCAGACTAACGATATGGCCGAACGTTTAGTTCGAACCTTTAAACAGAGTATGAATAAAATAAACGAGGGGAATTTAGAAACCAGTCTAGCTAATTTTCTCTACAAACCGTAATACACCAGAGGCAGAAACTGAACAAAGTCCCGCCGAAATACTACTAAAAATTAAACCTAGAGGTTTGTTAGACCAAATATTCGAACGGGGGAAAAAGCCATTATTAAAAGCATACTCGGATCACTACGATATGAAGTAAGTATAGAGGAACGATTATACGTCATACTGATTAATTAAGGAAAAGAACCGAAAATTTATTAACTGAAGAATACGAATTTGAAGAGAGAACCGAAGTAGAAGAGAGAGCCGAAGAGATATTAA